CTGCATCTGCCTCTGTAGTACTTCACCTCTCACTTCCTTTTTCCTGTCTGTCCCCTTATTCTATAGCTTTCACTTTTACTGTCAAGTGTCAACATGGTGGAATAACCAAGTCCAATGTTGGAATAACCAATAACCAACGTTGAAAGAAAAATGGTTCCACGTGTTGAGCGATAGACCCCAAACTGCATGTTCCCAGTAACGCAGCCATGCATGTTCCCAGTAACGCAGCCATGCATGTTCTCTGAAATAAACGGAGCCCTGCTGTTTTGGATACATCATCAGAATAGAGGAGGTAGTCCTGCTGTCCGCTCTCCTCCCTCCCTTCCCACGTTCCACCCCTCCGTTGGTCTTCCTGTATTGACCCAAGGTGGGCCTTGTCTCCCCAGGTCTCTGGCAGGAGCGACGCCCTGGGCCAAGGCTCCTCCTCCAAAGAGACCAGCCAGGTCAAAGTGAGTTCACCCCCCATCGCTCATCTCATCCTATTGCTTTTTTTTCTCCTCTTCAAATCTCCCTCTTTCTAACCCTCTGTTTACTACTCTCTCTCTCGCTTTCACTCTCTCGCTTTCACTCTCTCGCTTTCACTCTCTCGCTTTCACTCTCTCGCTTTCTCTCTCTCGCTTTCTCTCTCTCGCTTTCACTCTCTCGCTTTCACTTTCTCGCTTTCACTCTCTCGCTTTCACTCTCTCGCTTTCTCTCTCTCGCTTTCACTCTCTCGCTTTCACTCTCTCGCTTTCACTCTCGCTTTCACTCTCTCGCTTTCACTTTCTCGCTTTCACTCTCTCGCTTTCACTCTCTCGCTTTCACTCTCTCGCTTTCAATTTTTCTCATTATATTGTCTCTCACCCTGTCTTTCTCTGTCCCTCTCTCTTTCTCTCTCATTTTTGTCTCTTGCCTTGTCTTTGTCTTCCCCAAGCTGTTCATATCTCCGCCCTCTGTTTGTTACCGTTTTTTTTTATTGCAACATTTCATTCTTCACACACATAAAGACACGCACTCACTCATCTCTGATTGTCCCTCATTCACTGCATGGACTGACTGACGGACGGCTGTCTAAAGTAGATGGACGAGTGACTGACCGACCGACTGACACACACTGGTCCTGAGTTTTCCATTGTGAAAATGCAGCCTGAAAACAGAGGCATGATGAATCACTCAGTGGACTGTGTTTACAGCCAGACATCTTTTCTGGAATTTCTATTGTCAACGTGTGACAGCAAAGAAACAACCGTTCTGATTCATGTTGTATTTTAGGTTTCACCTCAAAAACAGAGTTAGTGATTATTGAGATATGGAAGAACTGTAAATGGGATACCAGATCGGATGGCATACCCTTGGAGGGGAGACACACATCCGTGGTAGACTGCTCACAGGAATTCATACAGTAACACAAGGCTCAAGCCAGAGAGCCAGCAGTCCATATTGACAATGTTGCTTGACAGCAATACAAATATATATATATATATCCTGTATCATGGTTTGAAAACGGGCCTGGCCTGCAGCATAGTGTTTAATGCCCTGAGGCAGAGTAGTTGCTGAGGGCTGTGATAAGTCATTAAGTCATTATCTTTCTGAGTTCTGCTCAGTCATACACTCTACTAAAATCTCCCTAATTATCATAATGATACCCACCGGACTCCGATGGCTGTCAAGGATCTGAGCTTAAACCTTGTACTGCTTAGTGTGTGTGTGTGTGTGTGTGTGTGTGTGTGTGTATTTGTGTGTTTTTTTGTTTATGTATCCTTGTGGGTACCAGAATTCATTTACATTTACAGAATTCCTCACTAGGATAGTAAAACAAGGAAAATTCAGACAAGTGGGAACATTTTGCCAGTCCCCACGAGGAAAAATGCTATTTTAGGCTTAGGGTTTAGGGTTAGGGTTAGAATTAAGGTTAGGGTTAGGAGCTAGGGTAAGGTATAGGGTTAGGAGCTAGGGTAAGGTATAGGGTTAGGAGCGAGGGTAAGGTATAGGGTTAGGAGCTAGGGTAAGGTATAGGGTTAGGAGCTAGGGTAAGGTATAGGGTTAGGAGCTAGGGTAAGGTATAGGGTTAGGAGTTACGGTTAGGTATAGGGTTAGGAGCTAGGGTAAGGTTTAGGGTTAGGAGCTAGGGTAAGGTATAGGGTTAGGAGCTAGGGTAAGGTATAGGGTTAGGAGCTAGGGTAAGGTATAGGGTTAGGAGCTAGGGTAAGGTATAGGGTTAGGAGTTACGGTTAGGTTTAGGGTTAGGAGCTAGGGTAAGGTATAGGGTTAGGAGCTAGGGTAAGGTTTAGGGTTAGGAGTTACGGTTAGGTTTAGGGTTAGGAGCTAGGGTAAGGTATAGGGTTAGGAGCTAGGGTAAGGTTTAGGGTTAGGAGTTACGGTTAGGTATAGGGTTAGGAGCTAGGGTAAGGTATAGGGTTAGGAGCTAGGGTAAGGTTTAGGGTTAGGAGTTACGGTTAGGTTTAGGGTTAGGAGCTAGGGTAAGGTATAGGGTTAGGAGCTAGGGTAAGGTATAGGGTTAGGAGTTACGGTTAGGTTTAGGGTTAGGAGCTAGGGTAAGGTATAGTTTTAGGTTTAGGGTTAGGGTTACAATTAAGGTTAGGGTTAGGGAAAATAGGATGGGAATCAATTTGGTCCCCACAAGGATAGCTGTGTGTGTGTGTGTGTGTGTTCGCGAGCATATGTGTTTCCTTTGCTTAACTGTCAGCACAAGGGTGGGTGCAGTGATTTCTTACAAACATGTCTAGTGAACTGTATGAAGTTGTCATGTTCCTGTCTAAATCTAAGTACTGGGTTTGTGGGTTCATGGTACTAGTGTCATATTGTCACAGTGTTATTATCGGTCTATGTGCTAACAAGTATGAATGTCTCAATATGGCAGGATATCACCAGGGTGACTAATTAACAAACAAGTATGAATGTCTCAATATGGCAGGATATCACCAGGGTGACTAATTAACAAACAAGTATGAATGTCTCAATATGGCAGGATATCACCAGGGTGACTAATTAACAAACAAGTATGAATGTCTCAATATGACAGGATATCACCAGTGTGACTATTAAACAAACAATGACACAAGCCATCCACTTAAGACCATTAGAAGGGCATATGCATAGCAATATCAACAGTGATGAACACCAACACAGTTCTGCTGAGTATCACAAACAACACAAGTAGGTTAGCAACAACATACAGTACATATACAGGTGGAACCATCACTATCATAATACATTCACATATAAAGGTGGCCTGTTTCAATACCGCAGCAATTGAGCATCCTCAAAGGGCAGGTGTGGATGTGGGACCCGCATGCGTGACTTTAATAGACCTCTCTGTGTGGCCTCTAGGTGTTTTCTGCTCTCTTCTCTTCCTTCCTCGTCACAGCACGCCCTCACCCCGACCCTCCCTCTAACCCTAACCCCCACGGTGACCCTACTCTTCCTCTAACCCCCCACGGTGACCCTACTCTTCCTCTTTGCCTGCCATGCTGTGTTTGTAGGTTCAGATAGTCTCCAAAAAGCTGGACTTCAGCCACGTCACCTCACGCCTGGGTTCTAAGGACAATATCAAGCATGTTCCTGGTGGAGGGAAGGTTAGTACCGGATTGCGGCTTAGCTTCAATGGCCCAAACGCCACATGACCGACCACACATCATTACCAATAAATACCTTGGGGTTTTTATTAGATATCTTCTGCTGAAGACTCCGCTGGAACAGGTCTGAGACTGAACTGCACTAATACAAAAAAATAATAACTCCCCCGCCCATTTATTGTGGACTTTTCGGTCTGAGACCTTTTTCAAGAACCTGACTCATAGACTCAAATGATCTGAGTCACTGTCCTACAGTTGACAGTTATGTTCAGGATTCGGTTCTAGTCTAGGAAATTCTACAGTGCTGCCCCCTTCTGGCACTGGCACGTCATTGCTTGAACGCATCGCTCCTGCCGATTGACACCACCAAACGCTTTTGAGACACGTCACTCTTAATCACAGTTGTTTTCCCTTTCTGTTGTTTTTGGACCTTGGCGACGAGGCTATTGTTCAGCACGGTAGCTTTAGCTAGCCCGCCTCCCTAGTGCCTGCTGCTGCCTTTGGTTTAGACTGTCTCTGTCTCTGTCTCTAACTCACTCAACACCAAACACCACCCTTACTTGTCTGACCTCTGACCTGCACAGACACTCAACCCTGATTGGCTCTCCATGCATACTTCCTCCTTTGATTGGTTGTGCTCTTATTGCTACTGAATGCGGTGGACATTGGTAGAAGGGGGTAGTACATGACTTTTTCCAAGAACAGATGGCTGATGATCAAGCTGAATAGATTCAACTGCATGGCGAAGAAGATGGCTGTCATGGCTCATTGACCGATTTTCATGAATTACCTCTTCAGTGTGTGTAACTGGGTTTGATGTATATTTGCAGGTTCAGATACTCAACAAAAAGGTGGACCTAAGCAAAGTGACATCAAAGTGTGGTTCCAAGGCCAACATCAAACACAAGCCTGGTAAGGTCCTCATGGGTAGACCTGTTGAGTTGCCATCCTGTATGTACACAGTAATACATGTGTCTCTGTGTTTTATTGACCACAGCACTTACTGTCATTATATTCTCAACTGTATATAAGTATTGATAGATGAAATCCAAAAGTAATTAAGGAACATGACTACCAAAGATGATTATAAAGATTAAGCAGAACATCTGTCCATTGGCCTCCCGAATGGCTCAGCGGTCTAAGGCACTGCATCGCAGTGTTTCAGCGTCACTACAGCCTGGGGTTCGGCCGGGCGCCTGCAGGCTGACCTCGGTCGTCAGTTGAACGGCGTTTCCTCCGACACATCGGTGCAGCTGTCTTCTGGGTTAAGCGAGTGGGTGTTAAGAAGCGCGGTTTGGCGGGTCATGTTTCAGAGGACGCATGATTCGACCTTCGCCTCTCCCAAGACCGTTGGGGAGTTGCAGCGATGAGACAAGATAAAACGGGGGGTGAAAAAAAAGAAAAACATCTGTCCATTGCTCTTTTAATCACCAGCTGATTAATTTGTAAGTCGCTCTGGATAAGAGCGTCTGCTAAATGATGTAAATGTAAATGTAATATTCCTTAGACCTGTGCAGTGTATCTCTATGCTGTTCCACTGACTGTGTGTGTCCTGTAGGGGGCGGCGATGTGAAGATCGAGTCCCAGAAAGTGAACTTCAAGGATAAGGCTAAGTCCAAAGTGGGCTCAATGGACAACCTGTGTCACGAGCCAGGCGGTGGCAACATCAAGGTGAGGTCACCAGACAAAGGGGCCTCATACTGAGTAACTTTATACTCCTACTTACACACACATTACAGTTTAGTCTCATACATCTGGTGCATGTCAGACGTTCAGCCTGTATCAAATGGCATAGTCGAGAAATGTGATCTCCACAATGTTAGCATTCTGAAAAACATTTAAGGGAGGATAGCCAAAGGCACAGGTACAGTAAGTGCTATCTGTATTTTGTCCCTGTTTACTGATCGATGGTAATGCCACGTTATTACAATACACTGTGGACAATACCAGCTGTGGAAAGTGTCGCTCCCCACTGTTTTGTTTGTTTGTTTGTGTGTGTGTGTGAGAGAGAGACAGAGAGACAGAGAGACAGAGCGAGAGAGAGACATAAAAATAAGCAATGAGGGGGAAAGCATTGCATTTAGTTTCTCTGTTTGTACTCTTTCCTCACTGTGTTGATAACAACACTTGAAGAATGCTGGGAGGTGTTTTACTCATGGCGGTTGACAGCATGGTTCTCTCTCTTCCTGCGGCACCTCCAGAATCTGAACTCTCCCTCCTGCCTCCCTCCACCACCTTTTCTCCCTCTCAGAGATGTAGGAAGACTGGACCTTCAAGCATGGCTAGGCCCGAGCAGTTCTAGTCTGAGCAACAGCGAAAGACCGGGGGATGGAAGCAGGGGGTTGGGGTGGAGGAGAGAGAGAGAGAGAGAGAGAGAGAGAGAGGGATGAGATGAGATGAAGAGGGGATGGAAGGAGGGGGTTGGGGTGGAGGAGAGAGAGAGAGAGAGAGAGAGAGAGAGAGGGATGAGATGAAGAGGGGGATGTGCATCCCACAGGGGGGAAGGAGAGCCAGACACAGACTGACCCTCATTCCCCCATAAGAGGACGTGTGTGAGAGGAGTAAGGATGACCAAGGGGAGAGGCTGGTGGTACTGGAAGGAACTCTCCTAGGGACCAGCCCTATCTAGCGTGATGTCGCCTGTCCCCTCAGCCTATGACAGTCCATATTATCAGTCACATCTCAATGGCTGCACCATTCATCTCCTCTGGCACTGTGAATTAACTTGAACTTTCTGCAATGCATAGAGTACACAGTTGATAATAAACGCACATACACAATGGGACATGTTCTCAGTTGGTCCTCGATCACATTCTTTTGGATTTCATCTATCAATACTTATATACAGTTGAGAATATAATCGCAGTGAGGTGCTATAGGCCTATTTCAGAGATGGTATACTATGCCTGCACATACCTATCATCTTACACAACACTTGACCAATCCATGTTTACATCATACAGTGAGGGGAAAAAAGTATTTGATCCCCTGCTGATTTTGTACGTTTGCCCACTGACAAAGAAATGATCAGTCTATAATTTTAATGGTAGGTTTATTTGAACAGTGAGAGACAGAATAACAACAAATAAATCCAGAAAAACGCATGTCAAAAATGTTATAAATTTATTTGCATTTTAATGAGGGAAATAAGTATTTGACCCCCTCTCAATCAGAAAGATTTCTGGCTCCCAGGTGTCTTTTATACAGGTAACAAACTGAGATTAGGAGCACACTCTTAAAGGGAGTGCTCCTAATCTCAGTTTGTTACCTGTATAAAAGACACCTGTCCACAGAAGCAATCAATCAATCAGATTCCAAACTCTCCACCATGGCCAAGACCAAAGAGCTCTCCAAGGATGTCAGGGACAAGATTGTATACCTACACAAGGCTGGAATGGGCTACAAGACCATCGCCAAGCAGCTTGGTGAGAAGGTGACAACAGTTGGTGCGATTATTCGCAAATTGAAGAAACACAAAATAACTGTCAATCTCCCTCGGCCTGGGGCTCCATGCAAGATCTCACCTCGTGGAGTTGCAATGATTATGAGAACGGTGAGGAATCAGCCCAGAACTACACGGGAGGATCTTGTCAATGATCTCAAGGCAGCTGGGACCATAGTCACCAAGAAAACAATTGGTAACACACTACGCCGTGAAGGACTGAAATCCTGCAGCGTCCGCAAGGTCCCCCTGCTCAAGAAAGCACATATACAGGCCCGTCTGAAGTTTGCCAATGAACATCTGAATGATTCAGAGGAGAACTGGGTGAAAGTGTTGTGGTCAGATGAGACCAAAATCAAGCTCTTTGGCATCAACTCAACTCGCCGTGTTTGGAGGAGGAGGCATGCTGCCTATGACCCCAAGAACACCATCCCCACCGTCAAACATGGAGGTGGAAACATTATGCATTGGGGGTGTTTTTCTGCTAAGGGGACAGGACAACTTCACCGCATCAAAGGGACGATGGACGGGGCCATGTACCGTCAAATCTTGGGTGAGAACCTCCTTCCCTCAGCCAGGGCATTGAAAATGGGTCGTGGATGGGTATTCCAGCATGACAATGACCCAAAACACACGGCCAAGGCAACAAAGGAGTGGCTCAAGAAGAAGCACATTAAGGTCCTGGAGTGGCCTAGCCAGTCTCCAGACCTTAATTCCATAGAAAATCTGTGGAGGGAGCTGAAGGTTCGAGTTGCCAAACGTCAGCCTCGAAACCTTAATGACTTGGGGAAGATCTGCAAAGAGGAGTGGGACAAAATCCCTCCTGAGATGTGTGCAAACCTGGTGGCCAACTAAGTCATGTTTTGCAGAGGGGTCAACTGCTTATTTCCCTCATTAAAATGCAAATCAATTTATAACATTTTTGACATGCGTTTTTTGGATTTTTTTGTTGTTATTCTGTCTCTCACTGTTCAGATAAACCTACCAGTAAAATGATAGACTGATCATTTCTTTGTCAGTGGGCAAACGTACATAATCAGCAGGGGATCAAATACTTTTTCCCCTCACTGTATTTGTTTTGGCGCTCTCTATGGTTTAGGTATGCACATTTCTTTCAAATTAAAATGGTGATAAAACCCAGGGTTTAATGGGTTTGAAATATATTGAATGACACACACATTTACTGAACGATCTAACTTCCCCTGGATTTTATCATTGGTCCCTTCCATTGTAGTCTCTTTGTGAAATAGTGACACCTGATTTATGGACCCAGAGACTCCTACTACGTACTCCTACACCCCTGTCTAAAGATTCAGATTATTATTATTCCAATTGTTAAATATAGATTAAGAATATATTCCTCATCTAATATGTTTGAGTAAATATAGCTCGATTTTCCACGTGATTTGATTCTGTCAGACCACTCACCCTGGTTGTGCTATAGCTTTAATGATTTTCTTACCATTTTTATTGAAGACATCCTCAGCGCTTGCCATGTTTTCTTTGAGTACTCTTGTTGTCCTACTGTACACACACTGCAAACCCTTTTCCATTCCATTGCCCCAACTGACACCCTGCCACTGTATGTGTTTCTAGGCTGAGGGTGCCCAGGAGATAGCAGAGGGGAATGGGGTTCCCCCCAGTGATACCCCAACCCTAGCCCCAGTCTCTGCCACGGTGCCAGGGCAGGCAAAGAGCCCCGCCCAGGAGAATGGGGTGAAGGAGGGCGCCCCGTGCCAGGGCCTCCATTACCCCCAGGGCCTGGACTCACGTATCCCTGAGACAAGTAAGTATGCCCTCCTCCCAAGCCGACCTGTCCCCCACCTCTCCTCGCTCCTCCAGGGCCGCGTACCACTCCTGACTCCTTGTCAGACTCCTATCCCCTGATGTGAGTCCAGGCTCTGTCGTAGCTGGCCGTGACCGGGAGACCCATGGGGCGGCGCACAATTGGCCCAGCGTCGTCCAGGGTAGGGGAGGGAATGGCCGGCAGGGATGTAGCTCAGTTGGTAGAGCATGGCGTTTGCAACGCCAGGGTTGTGGGTTCGATTTCCACGGGGGGCCAGTATAAAAAAATAAAATAATAATGTATGCACTCACTAACTGTAAGTCGCTCTGGATAAGAGCGTCTGCTAAATGACTAAAATGTAAATGTAAAATGTGAGCTGAAATGAGGCCTCTCAAATACTGGCCTGTACCTTTGACCACCTAGCTTCAATCCAAATGTGCTTTATGAATGTCTGGTCTGGAGAGGGGCCTTTTGAAGTTGGGATGCAAAAGGAGCAGAGAGGGTCTGTTATCTAAATGACTTTGTGACGTCCTTATTTATTTTGTGAATTATTTAATTTGTACATGAAGTCCCTGACCTCCACATGACCTTTGACTTCTTATTCTACAGGCGTCTAATTCTTCTTTGTGTTATCCCTCTACCCTCCTCATCTCAACCCCCTCAACATCTCCTCTCTCTCTCCTCCTCTCCTCTCTCTCCTTCACTCCTCTCGCTCCTTCACTCCTCTCTCTACTTCACTCCTCTCTCTCCTTCTCTCCTCGCTCTCCTTCTCTCCTCTCTCTTCTCTCTCTCCTTCACTCCTCTCTCCTCCTCTCCTCTCTGTCCTTCACTCCTCTCTCTCCTTCACTCCTCTCTCCCTCCTCTCTTCTCTGTCCTTCTCTCTCTCTCCTCTCTCTCCTTCACTCCTCTCTCCCTCCTCTCTTCTCTGTCCTTCTCTCTCTCTCCTCTCTCTCCTTCACTCCTCTCTCTTCTCTCCTCCTCCAGATTGAGTCTTTCAAGCTCAACTTCTGCGAGAACGCCTGCTCTCGCACGGACCACGGCGCCGACATCATAACCTGGCCGCCAGCCTCGGACGACAGCCCCTCACACCTGCAACCCAGCGTCTCTCTCAATGACTCCCAGGCCTCCGCCAGCTACCCCTGCTGCCCCCGGCCCCCTCACTCCTCCCCCTGCTGGGGCATGGGGGCAACGGCACACTAGCAGGACTCAGGTCATGACCCTCAACCCCACTCCCCACATCCAAACACCTCTCCCTTCCTATGATCTCATTAATGTGTCATGTTATTACGTCTACCCCTGCGCTACCTACCTACCTACCGCTGTCCTGTTCTCATTGGCTGAGCTGACATTGTGCATACAGTAGGCCAAGCTTCAGGCAGGGTGGGATAACAATGGGAGGGGAACGGAAGCTTGCCATGTTCTCTCCGATTTCTCTGGTTGTGCTAACCTTGTATTAACGTGCTCTGAGGACTCTCCTAACGATCATGGTTTCCATTGGTCCCTCTGATCAGGTGATGGGAGGGGGCGATGGGTTGTGTTGTATATGAACCTTTCCCTTCCTGGCGTCTGACAACAGTGCTCATTTTAGATCACGTTTCCTTCACCTCTACAAGAGCATAACATGGCAGTCACAGCGTACAGTAGCAAACGTCAGTCTTATCCAGTATTACAGGACGTACTAGTGCCGTTTTAGTGAGAGCGTAACCTACCAGGCAACCCCAGCCTTGAACAAACCTGTTTGCTTCGCACAGACACCCCCCATAGACACTACCCAATGGGAAACCCTCCTAGACTCACCTGTGGGTTATGTATGCAGAGTAATATGTGTGTAGCACCCCTTTACTTGTGAGCATGTAGGGCTGTCGTGTGTTCCCAATAACCATTTGATTATTCACTCACTATTCACTAACCATCGACTCACTCACTGCCTCACCTCCCTCCTCTCTTTCTTCACTGTCCATCATAAGAGCATTTAAATCTAGTAGACTGTTTGAACAGTAGGCTATTTAACTCTCTTTAATCTCTGTGTTTGTGATGGTGTGTTTGAGTGAATTCTGCTGTAACAATGAGCTGTGGTGTTCTGTTCTGTTTACTTTCTCTCTCTCGACTGGTTTATTTTCCTCATCTGTTTTGGTAGAAGGTTTTTCTCATAGTTTTCTTCTTGATTTGTATATTTTCTTGTACAAGCAATACGGTGGATGGTCTCTTTACCGTTAGGACTCAGAAAGCCTCTTGAATACACGCACACATTTATTTTTCTTGAAACAAAGGCATACAGTCATAAAGATGCAACTCTGTTTAGGGCTTTGAGACTGAGGAGGCATGTCAGGCGTGTGACGAGGGAGATGAAGACAGGGAGACAATGAACACTGAAAGACGTCTCCAGTGTGTTAAAACAACACTGTGATGTGTCAGAATAGTAGTCTGGGAAAGTTCAAGAAAGTAATAGAGTTTGGAAGCTTTTTATTTTGAATTCAGTACAAGGGACTTGTGCGAAGATTAATGATGTGAAGGAAAGTGTCTTGGAAATTGGTGGAGCTGTGTGTCTTTGTCTATGTGCCTCCTGTCCTGCTTACCTGAAACTGGGATGGAACTCGGGCTGGAAGCTCAAGCTGATGTACTCTTGTCCCTGGAGAGACACAGACAGAAAGAATGTCATAGTTGAAAACGAACCGTCAAGCCGCCTGGTGGCACTGTAGTTTGATTAGGATTTAGAAGAGTTGTATTTTGTAACTAGTCCTGGTTGTTGTTCCATTTCAGTTGTTTTCTGAAGGTTCTGGTCAGGTGTTATTGACAGTTACAAGAGGACTTGCTGAAGGACTTGTTGGAACATTATTAGAGGACTTGCTGAAGGACTTGTTGGAACATTATTAGAGGACTTGCTGAAGGACTTGTTGGAACATTATTAGAGGACTTGCTGAAGGACTTGTTGGAACATTATTAGAGGACTTGCTGAAGGACTTGTTGGAACATTATTAGAGGACTTGCTGGGGGACTTGTTGGAACATTATTAGAGGACTTGTTGGAACATTATTAGAGGACTTGCTGAAGGACTTGTTGGAACATTATTAGAGGACTTGTTGGAACATTATTAGAGGACTTGCTGGGGGACTTGTTGGAACATTATTAGAGGACTTGCTGAAGGACTTGTTGGAACATTATTAGAGGACTTGCTGAAGGACTTGTTGGAACATTATTAGCGGACTTGCTGAAGGACTTGTTGGAACATTATTAGAGGACTTGCTGAAGGACTTGTTGGAACATTATTAGAGGACTTGCTGAAGGACTTGTTGGAACATTATTAGAGGACTTGCTGAAGGACTTGTTGGAACATTATTAGAGGACTTGTTTGAACATTATTAGAGGACTTGCTGGGGGACTTGTTGGAACATTATTAGAGGACTTGCTGAAGGACTTGTTGGAACATTATTAGAGGACTTGCTGAAGGACTTGTTGGAACATTATTAGCGGACTTGCTGAAGGACTTGTTGGAACATTATTAGAGGACTTGCTGAAGGACTTGTTGGAACATTATTAGAGGACTTGCTGAAGGACTTGTTGGAACATTATTAGAGGACTTGCTGAAGGACTTGTTGGAACATTATTAGAGGACTTGTTGAAGGACTTGTTGGAACATTATTAGAGGACTTGCTGGGGGACTTGTTGGAACATTATTAGAGGACTTGCTGAAGAACTTGTTGGAACATTATTAGGGGTTCTGCTGAAGGACTTGTTTTGTCAGGCTGTTGGCAGTGGAACATTCAATGTGGCTTATTTTACTCATAGCAATGTATCCAACAATTGCCTCCAATTGCCTTTTTAGTGCATGGCCAGGTAATATAATGCCCAGAGCAGAAAGCCTATGTGCATTATGACTTGCAGTGTTGTGGTTCAGTATATTTGTCCTTGGGGGCAATCATAGTCAGTGGTGTATCTTTCCTTATTATTGCTTTCTTTGCTTTAGACAGTGGGCAGGAAGAAAATCGGGGGCTGTCATTTTGCCTGACAATTATATTGCAGTTTGGTATATTATATAATTCAGCTATAAGTTCATCGTGTTTATTTGTGTTGTACTCAAATGAGGACAGGACACCAATTACGCCCCGCTAATTCAAGTCAAGATGGAGACCTACTGAAAGTAGCACCTACACTCCAAAATGTGTAAAAAATAATACAATTGACACTTGAATCTCCTCTTAAATCAGAGATATGGAAGCTATTAAAAGCACCTTAAAGGCTTGAATATATCAAAGAGGGTTCACTGTGATGGAGATCTGTATTTGATTAAAGGTAGAGCTATCCCTGGAAATGTCTACAATGCATCAGGGCCCCTTAACAAACACAGTTAAGGAGCTTTGCACACTCCTGCAGAGCATAGAACTGTATTTAATCTTGATGGCCTCCCATTTTGCTTCTTGGACCTCCATGAAATATTGTTTAAGAGATTAATAGTGTTTTTAAATTGAATTAATCACAATCTATTGAGATGTGTGGAATAATCCCCAGAGCCAAATGTTTTAAGAAAACAGGCTATACATTTTATTGTTGTCAACAAAGATTTTATTTTGAAATTGGAGAGGTTTGTAGATATTGATATTTGAGCAGTTTTGTCGCGCATTAGAGGAGCGGCCGCTGAGGTGGATCGTCGTATGGCCTCTGTTGCCACGGTCCTCGTCTGATGGGGACATTTCTCCTTGTGCCTGTCCACACTTTTACTATCTCTTTCACCCCTGGTCTTGACTGATGTTCTCTCTGAGATCGCACACGGTTGTATAGAAATATAGATCTGACTGTTTATACACTATTTCGTCACAGCAACAAAAACAATATGAAAACAACAATGAGGGTAATAAGGAAGTATAGCTTTTATGTTCATCTACCTTTTAACGGTTTTAATGGTAAGGAGCAACATTATTATTATTATTATTATTATTGAGCAAGTCTGCCTTTTTTTTTTCAAGAAAAGGGCTGCTAAAGTGAAAGAATGTTCTGGAGATATAATGTACTAAAGACGCAACACTTTTGTAAATGTATTTATCTTGTGTTCCCATTGCTTCGTGATGGTTGTGTCAGTGGGGAGTGTTAGAGGGTTTATGGGAGGGATAGTAGGGTCTGGTCCAGTTTGTGCATTGCTGTCTATTGAACAGCCTTTTGTTAACTTTCACATAATCTTTGTCCATCCCCACATATTGTTATTTACCTTTTTAGATGTGATTTTGACATTGTAGGATACAGTGACCTCCTTGCGTTGATTTGAAAACAAGATACCTGTAACATGAAAGGGATTGAAACTAATATGTATGAATTGCACTGTATAAAATACCGTTATAACATGCAAGGAAGAGGGATTAGAAATCAGAGGTCATATCGGTCATTTAGGAACATTGTTCCCCTCGCCCTCCACACACACACACACACACACACACACACACACACATATGGAACACACACAAACACACACTACCCTGGAGTGTCATGGAGACCTCCACGTCCTAACACACAGTTTTGTGTAAGACTAACAGTAGCTGTCAGGTTTGGCTTGTGTTATGCTTAGAGCTCTCCAGTAATGGAACAATGGGGTCCATAGATCTGCTTCTACCACTAGCGCACACACAGTGTACAAATAGAACACACCTACTTAAAAGCATGCTGAAACAAATGGGGATGTGTTAGGTAGACTTTGTAATTTGCTAAATGTATTTTGTTAGATTTTTTGTTTTTCATTCATTTTGAATTAATTGTTTTGGTTTGAAATAAGTGTTTATTGTGGTTAATTGTTAATTAGTGATGTGATTATTAAAAATGTAATAAAATACAAATGTTTAAGATGTGCTTGCCTTTTGATTAATTACATAATCCTCTCTGCCACAGATGAGCCATACATACATGATATAGATTTACATTGCAAATAGAAAGCAAGAAACATTTTGACACATTCCCTTTGGACAATTACTTAATGAGGCAGCGAAATGCTATTGTAGAAGTGAGTCCTATCTGCCGGAAGACAATCTCACATAATAAACTATATTTCTAGGCCCATATAACCGTTCATACAATGTTTGCACATAAAACATTTTCCCCCAATTAATACAAGAGTAATAAATTGCGTAGTTCACCATTTTATTTTGTTTTATTATCAGGGGGTGCTGCACCCCAACTTCCCGTGGCTATGCATAAGAGGAATCGATTCAAGTCAC